CCTATGCCAGGGAGGGAGGCTCTGACTCCAAATGTTTCCAATGAGAGGGGGGGGAGGGTGCGGGGGGGGGGAGGGATGGGTGCTGCCACTCTGGAGCCCTGCAGATTGATTTTTAAGGGAAAGACTATGCAGCCTTTGCATTCTGTTAGTGCAGCCAGCATTTGAAAGCTTACGCTCGGACAATGAGAGTCACTGCAGGGCACTGGAGTGCTTGACTGAGTACCTGCGGAGCATAACACGCGGGCAGAGCTAAGTCAGCTCTCTCCCATCCCCTCGCCCCTCTGGTTTCCACTCCCCAAAGTGGCCAGTAAAGGGCCCTTTACTCACCCGTGTGCGATGGTCCACAATGCAAATCTGCCAGGTGTTCTTATTCATTCACAGAAATTCTTCCACTTCTCCACATTGTTTGAGTTTTCTCTCCTGGTTCTCATTTGATAAATGGCCTCCGGGTCTGTGGCTGACCTCAGCAGGCGCTGCCAGTGCCTCTGACCTCAGAGCCTGTCCTCCAGGGGAAGTTCCATGACGTCGGATGAGCCTGCGGACGAGATGCCTGCTGCCCCTCCCCAGCGGGCAGGAGGCCCCAGTTCCCTTCTTGGTGGGGAAAGAGAGATTACCATTCAGAGTGGACACAGAACACAGAAGTGGCTAACACAGCCAAACTTCAATGCCTTCTGAGGAGGAGAACATTGGTATTCTAAGATTTATAACAATTTTTATTAAAACTGTACAATAAATTACAAATGAGTAAAAATTCTCTGATATACATCGTAGGAATCACCATACAAAAATATGTGCAAAATGTTGTGGTTGATCGCCATACAAACCTACGTCAGGCCTGTGAGTACCGGTTAGCACTGAGCAGATCACATGTGTAGAATGTGTTACTGAGGAGCTTTTCAGGGGACGCAAATACTGGCCGGCATATTGCCAGGCGGAAACAGGTCCTCAATTCGTTTTTGCATAAATGTACAGTCAAGCTTTTAAAAAATATACAGTAAACAAATATATGATTTGATACATATATTTACAACTTGATTTCCTGAGCCTAAACGTAAGTCCATTACTGTGTTAAAACACACAGCCCACCTTAAGGTTTCGATGATGGCAAAAGCAGGTGAAAGTGACCGTGCCTCAAACCCACTCCCACACACCCTCCTTCCTGACCTCCAGGGCCGTGTAAGGCACACAGGGTGTCCTGAAGCTCGGGGTTCCACGTGGGCAGAGCACCACCGCCCTTCAGCAGCTGGCACCCCAGACCGAGGTGCACACACATCCGTGTCAGCAAGGAAGCTGCGGTTCATGTGGGTCTCTGGTCTAGACAAACGAAGCCGTGCGCTGTTCCGGGGTGTGCACACAGTGCTATGTGTGAGAGCCGTTACGCTGCATTCATGTTGACGTCTTGGTTACACATTCAGCATTTCTGGCAACGTTTCAGGGTCCCCCCCTCTTGGTCCACTGCGGAGGGACGCATTTCCACACAGATTTCCCCCTTTGAAGAGCCCAGTGGTCTTGAGTACAAGGTATACGCTAGGATTTAGAAAACGCACCTTCTTTAAAATACTTGAATTCTTCAGATGCTCGCAGGACCAGCAGGAATCAGTGGCGAATGCTCGTATTCTGCCGTGTTGGCAAAAGCCCAGTCCTGAAATGCTGGCTTTTGTAACCAGATGACAGCGGGTGCCTCTGACACAGAACTGAAAGCAATGCTATCGAAAGAGGAAAACGGACATTGCGTGTGCTCTCAGAAGGCGGCAGGGATGCAAATGTGCTCTGGGGCTTGGAATATTATTTGAAACATTCATTGAGCCGTTTCCCCTCTCCTGTGTACACACATTTCACATGTAACAACTTTGTAAGCATCAGTGCATACATACGTGGTTCTCTCTCCTAAATAGTGTGCCCTTTTCAAATGTATAAGCTGTGATTAAGAGTGTCTGGGGTGGGTGGGCTGGCGTATGAAGAACTCCAGATGTATGGACAACATGCAAAGCCATAACAGTCCAAGGAGACAGGGATGTGACTTTGGGTTTCAAATGCGTATCTTTAGATCCTGAACGGCCGCCCGCATGACTGCTGCTCCTGTGCAGGTATGCACCGGGGGGACCCCACAAGAGGAGTGGGTGGACTTCTGGGGTGTCCCTGGATGCCTGGGTCACACACTCCCTCACACTTTGATCTGTTCATCCATAAGTCCTTGGGCCTTTTACTAAGGCCAGACTATTGTTGCCATTCGGTTCTGAGCACAACAAACGTGCAAGGATGGTACAGTCATAAATTGGCCCAGGTCTTGTCCCAGTGAATAGTAAGCATGGCCTTAATGACAACAAAAAATGGGTCCTTCTTGCAAAACTGCGGAGTAGTGCATTGCCTAGCGGAACCCTGCCCTCCCCCGGGAAAGCACATCTCCCCGACCTGTCAGCTTCTCCCCACTTCAGCCTAGGGAGTCGGCGGCCACTGTCGTCCCCACCAGAGTTGAGCATTTGTTCCGACACAAATGCAAACTGAACCTAACCCTTCCAGACAACGCAGCCACCCTCCCTCCCGCCTCTCGGTGATGCGGTTTGTGTTCCTTTATGCAACGTTGTGAGTTATGCTCTCACCTGGCTGCATGGCTAGCTGCCCGGTGTGTCGACTTCTAAGTGCCCCAGAGAGCTAAATCCCTGTGCATGGTGTTCTGGTGGAGCAAGTTTGTGCACGCGAGCACACCCCCCCCCCCCCTTGCAACTTCTTTAGCACCGAGGGCGACAACCTTAGACCATCCAGGGGCGAGGCCCACAGAAGAAGAGCTGGATGTCGGGCTGCATCCCAGTGCTGGGCGGCGTCCCTGGGCTGTGGACCTGAGCCCTCGGCGGGAAGGGAACCCACACCAAACCTGGCTTCCATATGTGCGGTTTCCTCTGAAAAAGAGTGAAGACAAAAGCTTTATTTTAGCGTGAGCCATCCGAAGCACTCCGGGCCACAACCACGGTGGAGAAAGCCTGGGGAAGCGCCGGGGGCCCAGGTGCACATTTTGAACCTCTGCCCAGGAATAGCAAACAGACGTTCCCCGAGATCATGGGGCCACAAAGGTGGGTCCGTGTGCCCCACGCACGAAACCATGTGCAGAAGTGGCCTCAACCTTCCCGCAATGCCTGGGGCCGCTGCCCACATTCCTACCCCATCTTCATTTCTTCTCATGACTACTTAGAAAGGGGCTGTGTCAGGTAGCAATCCCTCCTTCTCGCCTTTTACGTTTGTGATGTCTGGAACAAGTTAGGAAAGGCCTTCTAATAAGGAGGCTGGGCCAGGATGGGCCCTGGGGCGGCAGGAGTAAGAGCAGGATGAGGGGTCAGAGGCAAAACCCCAGGGTCTCAGGTTTTAGAAACTCCACAGGTTTCTAATCCAGGAGAGAATGAGAGGGTTTGTGGGCTTTTTGTTTCGGTTTCTCAGCCTCACTTCTAGTCAGCCGACAGTCCCCCAAGTAGAGCGCCGTGGACAGGCAACTGCCCGGTGATGGGGTGGTGTCCTTGTAGGGACGGCCGCCACAGCCAAAGCCTCGCTGCATTTAGGAGAGCGTGGTTATGGCGTCATGTCTATAGTGACCTGCACTGAGGAAAGGTGACGAAGTACAGGAATAGATGGATAACCAAAGCCATGAACCGGCTTCATGTCACGGCACCAGAATGAGCAGAGGAGGGACCAGGGGGCGCTGGCAGCTTGGTGTGGGTTTTTTTGTGTGTGTTTTTTTAAAATATATTTTATTGATTTTTTTACAGAGAGGAAGGGAGAGGGATAGAGAGTCAGAAACATCGATGAGAGAGAAACATCGATCAGCTGCCTCCTGCACACTCCCCACTGGGGATGTGCCCGCAACCAAGGTACATGCCCTTGACCGGAATCGAATCTGGGACCCTTCAGTCCGTAGGCCGATGCTCTATCCACTGAGCCAAACCGGTTACGGCCAGCCTGGTGTGTTGATGTGGGCCCCCGGCCCAGCAGGCACGAACACGTCAGAACCTCATTAAGAGCTGCGGAAGCACAACGCCTGTCGGTACCACGTGCAAAGGGACTCAGACATATGGATCAGGAATCAACATTCTGATTTCTGTCAAAATAGAGCCCGAGGAACAGGCCCTGGTGTGTTTGTGTTGGGAGTCCCACTGAGACCAACTGTGGGGAAACAGCTGCTGGCATGGGAGACGAGCACCTTCAGGGTCGGAGGAGCCGACTAGAGCAGAGGCCCGTGCGGGTGGCGAGCACCACGGAAGGCCCGGCCCTCGGCCTCTCTGGGGTTCCAGAAACCACATAAGACAAGTCAGCCGGGTCCCCACAGGGTGGGCCGGCTGACGACCAAGTGGGCGAGGGCCCAATTCCACAGACACGTACTTGGCCTGTGAGACCCTTTAGCCTGGTCCTTGCTCTCTGCCCCCCAGCACCGCCCCTACTTCCTGTGTCCCAGATGCCCCCAAATAACCCACACAAATAGGTGTCATCGGCTCCTGGCACAATGGAGAATGGGCTACAACAGCCTTCCCACATCATCTGAGAAACTGAAGCCAAACATTTCCAAACCAAACAGAAACAAATGAGAACCCAAACCCTGTGGGGCCAGGGCCTTTTGTCCCCAAAGCTCCGATTTGGGGGGAATGTCAAAAATAAATGGCCTCTCCCAGACCCCACTTAGCTTCCTCCCTCACAGCGCTCCTCGGGGCCTTTCACCAATCGGCAGGTTTCAACCCCTGCCCGGCCTGCACGGTGTGCGATGTCCCCTCTCCCCAGCGCCCACGGAGGAGAGCCCGGTGGGGCTTGCATACATGCTGGGTTGGGCCCTCCGTTCCAGGGGGAGCCACGCTCAGGCTGTGCCCCGCCCAGGGCTCCTCCTGTTCTGGCTGCAGCTGCCTCGTCAACGCGTAATAAAAGCAGCACCTGCCTTTATGGAGCAGGTCGCAGGTCGCAGGTGAGGACCTGCCAGGCTCTTGAATGCAGAGTTGGTGGGTTTTATGTGTCAACCTGACGGGCAGTGGCTGCCCAGACATTTGCCAAACAGGATTCTGGGTGTCTGTGAGGTTGTCTGGACTAGATTGACATCTGAGTCAGCCGACTGAGTAAGCAGATTGTCCTCCCGATGGGGTGGGCCTCACCCCAATCAGCTGAGCCTCCAGGCGACTCGGGTTCACTCCCATGTGGGAGCCGTTTCTATGAAATTGTGTTCCTGGGGCTGCAAAAACTTTTTCCATTAACAGTCATTTTATAGAAAGTGACTACATGAGCATCATGGCCTGTTTCCTGGCGTTTTCTCCCAGTTACCTGGGAATCAGAGACTCACGGCTTAACCTCAGCCGTGGCTGGTGATTCCAGGGCCACAGTGTACCCCCTCGGTGCTGCCCACCTCTCCCTGGGGCCTGGGGACACTGGATAGTGGTGTCCTCTGGCCTTGACCGCTCCTCCGCCCAGCATCCCCCCTCCCCGGGCATCAAGGGCGCCTGTCCTCCATTCCCATGGCCCCGCATAAGCCCCCAGCCCTGGTTTTCTGGAGGACCATTGCTGTGAGGGGCCGCCAGGGGGTCAGGGTGGGCGCGGCATTGCCAGAGGTGGGTATGGGGCGGGTGCTCACGGTGCAGGGACTGAGGCCGGCACTGAGTGCGTTCCCCGCCTTCCAACCATCTGAGCACATAGGATCCCACCGAGTCCACGTCAGCCCAGGGCTTACCCGGTCAGGGCCACGCCCTCAAGGTAATGGCCGGAAGGGTGTGTAGAAGCCAGGGCAGCTGGGTCCCTCCTGCAGAGAAGGCAACTGATCTCATCTCTGTACTGTGCATATACGTGGACTGCACAGTCCCTCGCCGGTGTGGGCGCAGAATCCAACTGCCCGGGCTGCTAGACCTCTGCCTGACCACACACACACACACACACACACACACACACACACACGTCGCACACACACATCACACAGACGCACTTTGCCTGCTCCCCACCGGTGCCTGTCCGTTTCCTGTCTGGGTTGCAGGCAGCAGCTCTCACAGCCCCACGAGGGGGTGTCCAGCTGTCTTTCTGACACTGACCTCTCTAATAATGGCCCCATGGTTGTGCCACTAAAAAGACCCATTATTGCTCCAATCAAGATGGCTGCATTTCCCATCACCAGGCAGCTGCTGCGAGAGACTGGGCTAGATCACAGAGCAGGGAGGGGGAGGGGAAGCCTCCATTTCCACCTGTGACTCTGCAAATCTCCCAGGGCCATTAGAGGAAAGCCTTTGCCGTACCTAAAGCAGGACGATTCTAAACAAAGAGCAGAAGCAAATCGCCTCAAGCCCAACAGGAACGGGAAAGCCTTCGTTCACAGTATCTCGGAGGCTGAGCATCGTGTCCGGTTTTGACTCCCAGGTGGACACACGCCCAGAAGAAGCCCCTGCCCCTCACACTCACAGACTTTACAAGAATGTTCTAGAACAGAGGTCCTCAAACTTTTTAAACAGGGGGCCAGTTCACTGTCCCTCAGACATTCCACACATGCGCACTGGGGGCCCGGGACGAGTCGGCTGCTAAGCAGGACAGGCAGCTGCGGCAAAAACACCCGGCGGGCCAGATAAATGTTTTCGGCAGGCCACATGTGGCCCGCGGGCCGTAGTTTGAGGACCCCTGTTCTAGAAGCACCGTTCACAAGAGCAAACCCAAGTGTCAGTCAGAGGGAGGAAAGCCCATGACATGTAGACACAAGACGGGTGAGTCTGGGCGCAGTGATATCAAGTGCAGGAAGCACGGCCAGAAGACATGCACAGCACCTTTCGTCTCCGTAAAGACTGGAGAGACAATACAAGCTATACCTTCAGAAACACCCGTGTCTGCAACAAAGCTCGACAAGGCGCTGCCCCGGGGCTGGGACAGCAGTGACCTCTCAGGGGAGGGCAGCGATGGGCCAGGGTCCTGTGGTTGGAAGTTACTGGGTCCACAGAGTTAGAAAGAACAGATCGCCAAGTGGCCACTCCCAACCCGTGGCGGCCTGAGCCAGGATCAGGACGAGGGCAGTTCTGTGCACCAACACGGCAAAGGTGGAGGAAACTCGGTGACAAGGACCAGCGAGGGGGACGCACAGGAGCTGGAGTGGCCTCTCAGGCCAGCAGGGACCCCTGAAGCCAGCTAATTCTGAAAAGCAAATGCAGTGTCTCCCCCGTGGCCCCACGCAGTGGGACGCCACACAGCCCGCCACCTGCCATCAGACAAGCACGCATCGGACCTCAGCTCTGAAGGCCTCATTTCCACACGGGCTGGTGCCCGGGCTGACGGAGTCACCCTGACAGGCCTGGCGCCCGGGGGGAGCTTTGCAGCGTGCCCGGCAGGGTCCTGTCAGCGTCTGGCATCTGGGGGCTCCCCCACCTCAGCAGGCTCCCCTGTCCCTGCTCTCAAGACAGACAGGCAGTGCCTGGGGCCAGCTCTCCCCTGAGCTCAGCCGGTCCCCCATGAACGACCTCAAAGAACAAGCTGTTCACTCTCAGGTGAAACTCCTGTGAGTAAACACACATTTTGTTCCTTTTTTAAAAAAACAATATCGGCGACGAAGACGGAGGTGTCGTTGGGTTATGGTGGAGGCCACGGGAGGTTCCTACTCCCTGCACACGCGGTGCTCACTAACTGGACGTGTTCTGAACGACAGCAGCTTATCCCTGGATTTCAAGGGACACCAGAGCCTCCTCTCTGGGCGGCGGGGCGCCTGCAGGAGCAACCGCCAGGGGCCTAGAGGAGGGGCTGCTCTTGGCGTTCAGGGCCTGCCCACCAGGAGCTGTAAATTGGGTCTGCTGACACGCAATCCCCTCATCTCAGCTTCCTGCCCGTGCTAGGCAGACGGGCCCACCCCACCACCCCCGGTGCAATGGGACCAGGCATGCCCGCTAGCCAGAGCACTGCCCCTGCCTCCCAGGGTGTGGTGACATGGTGACATGGTGATATGGGGACATGGGGACAGGGGGTCATGGGGTCAGGGAGGACGCTCCAGGCAGGACTGGCCGACCACAGAGCAGGACGTGGTCCAGCCAAGCAGAGGGGTTTTGTTTTAAAAAAGGAGTCCTTCACAGTGGGGGTGAGAGAGGACAAAGAAGGGGGACAGCGACGGGCAAAATAGGTGCTTCTGCCAAAACTGTGCCCCAAATGCAAAGAGCCGGGCTGGCTCATGGGAGGCCGGGAGTGATGCCCACAGGACAGAAGCCACCGCCACCATGGAGCCTTTCCGGGGACCCTGGGCAGTATGTTTCCATACAGGCATGTGCCCCCGTGATGTGCGGTGTCCGCTGCTCCCCCCACGAGTGACCTCTGAGGCCAGGCGGTGACTGTGGACTGTCCTTGCCAGGCACTGGTGGTCAGCACTGTCCTGATCGCTCTGGGAGGCACCTGAGCTCCGTGTGGGCTTGAGCGCCCTCGTGTGGCCCTCAGGGTGTCTCCAGGCCCAGGCAGGACCAGGCAGGTCTCACTCTGTTCCAGAACGAGGAAGCGTGTAAAACTCGCGGCCAATGGGCCGCTTGCTTGCTCTAGAGCAGTGGTTCTCAACCTTCCTAATGCCGCGACCCTTTAATACAGTTCCTCATGCTGTGGTGACCCCCAATTTCATTGTTACAAATTGAACATAATTAAAGCATAGTGATTAATCACAAAAACAATATGTAATTATGTATGTTTTCTGATGGTCTTAGGCAACCCCTGTGAAAGGGTCGTTAGACCCTCAAAGGGGTCGCGACCCACAGGTTGAGAACCGCTGCTCTAGAGGGACCTTGCTAGCCCGAGGCTGTGCTGAGCACCCTGGGGGACCAGATATTGCCTGGGCTGGGGCCCCCTATCGGGCTCACCGCCTGCCTCTTTAGGGAACATACACGCAGACGCGCTATCTGAGACACGAAGGAAACGTCACGGACCCTTTCTGAATAAGCAGGTGGCAGGCTCAGCTCTTCCTCCTCCCAGGTCGGCTCTGCCTCTGCCTCTGCTTCGGCTCAGTGCTCGCTCCCCTTTCTACGAGGGCAACGACGGTGCCCACTGTGTGGCACAGGGGCTCTTCGATAGTCACTGTTGGCACCTTACAGACTCGGGAACCGGACCTGGCTCACCCCGGAACCAGAGCCTTACCTCGCCCGCCTCCCTCCTCGCCTGTCCTCCTCCCTCCAGGGGCTCCCCCCTTGCACTGCCTCCTGGCCTGGGGCAGGGAGCAGAGGTGACTGGGGCCAGGTGGCTGGGATGCATCTGGGACACACGGGAAGCCCGCTGAGCTGGGAGTCGGGGTTGGAGAAAAGGATGGCTCCACAAGATAACGTGGGAAGCTTTCTCTTTTTTAAGATTCTGGGGGCAGCAAGATGGGCGGGCAGGGCGAGCTAAGATCCAGTGGGGGCTGGAGCAGATGTGGGGGGGCCTTTCACAAGCTCTTCCCTGCAGAGCAGAGATGAGGCCATACTCATAGCTCAGGGACAGTCCCTGGCACGTTCATAGGGGACCCAGGGAGGCCTTGGCTGGCCTGGGGGGTGTCCTGGGTCTGAGCTGAGGAGGCCCACATGGGGTCAGCTCATGGAGGAGACAGTGAGGATCCCCCACATGGACACCCTCTGGGGATCAGACCTGGTCCAGGGGTGGTAATGGGGAGTGAGCCACCCCCTACCCGGCCCCACCCACCCATATAGACACAGAAGAGTTTCCCAGCAAACTGACCCACATTTAAAAGAGGCCGCACTGGGCTGAGCAGGATCAGATAAGGTGGAATCCCGCAGTCAGACGGAGGTCAGCGCCCCCTCAAGGGCCCCCAGCAGGTGGGAGGGAAGCGCTGTCCCCATGGACGTGTGGCAGTGCCTTACCTGCTCGCCACCTCGGCGTCCGGCTCCCTCCTCACCTTCCCAGGTGCCCTGCCATCCCTCGCTGGGCACCGGCCCTGAGTGTGAAGGGCAGAGTTCTGGACAGGGCAGCGTCAACCACACTCGGCTCCCTGTGCCCTCAGGCCTTGGGTGGGCGGCAACTAGCACCCAGGCTCCATGGGGTCTGGGCTGCGCTGCTGGAGGTGGCCGCCAGGGTCTCTGAGGAGGTCAGAGCCCTGTCCGGGGGCCGCCGTGTCGTCCACCTGCTGTCATCATGCTCAGTCCCACCAGGCTCCCAGCCGAGGCTCAGGCGGCCTCAGCCTTCACATCTCCGGTGGTCAGGAGGCCGCGGGGGTGGCATGGAGCAGCGTGGCAGCCGCGGCCCCATCTGTGCCCGCGGGGCATCAGCGTCAAACAAGGGAGGGCATCGTGACGTGTCCATCAGTAAGTGCTTGGGACCCCAGTGAGCGAGTCGCAGCGTCAGCGTAGCCCAGCTGTGGCGGCCCCGGGAGACCGCCCTCGGGACGTCGGGAACGCAGGTCACCATCGCGGCCACAGCCTGCACTCTGTCATTTCGTGGGGCGCCTGCGTTTTTCTGAGAATCCTCCTCGGAGACCATGTAACAGCTACTGCGGGAACCAGGAGGGGTGGGCTGCAGGCTCGGGGACTCATGTCCCTGGAACTGGGACTGGGGGGCTGTGCCCGAGGAGGGACCCCAGGGTCCAGCAGCCAAGACCAAGCTCTTCCAGAGGAGCCCAGTCAGGAAACTAGTTCTCGCTCCGGCTCGTCAGGGTGGACAGCCGCCCGCTCAGAGCAGCTCAAGCCCCCCTCTCGGCCGCTTCCTCGACAGGAGGGGGTCCGCACAGGCCAGAGCCTCCTGGGTCCGCGGGGATGACGCAGGCGGTCTCCATTGGCCACCCCGGCACCCGCTGCCGTCTAGTCCAGCTGGAGGGACGGGGTCCGGCTCCTCTGGGGGCTGGAAGAACAGAGACAAGGACACGTCAGGGCGGCGGCTCAGTGACAGGCAGCGGCTGCAGGATGAGGCCCCGGGGAAAGGGCCGCCACCTTCCTGGGGAAGGTCCTCTCGGCACCTGTGAAGGGCGGGGCCTCGGACACACACAGACGTGTCCTCTCATCTTCTCTCGGGAGGAGGCGGTGGTCAGCCTCCACGTGTGGCCCAGGCGTGAAAGCCGCAGGCATGGCCCACAGCTTAGCACGATCAGGGGCGTGAACGAGCCAGCGCGGCCGGGAGGCTGGCCTCTCTGGCCGGTCTCCAGCGGGACCCAGGCTCGTACCCGATCCCACGGGGGAAGGACAAAGACCGTGAGAGCGCGCTGTCAGCGCTCGTGCCCCAGACACAGGAAACAGTCGCAAGGCTTTTGAGGCACACGCAGCCCTTCACTGTGTTGGGGGGAGTCCTTGCCCCCCTTCCTTGTCAAGAAAGGCAAGCGCCCTGAGCCCTCTGACGACCACAGGCCCCTCTGAATCCTGGCCCCGCCCGGGGCTGAGGGTCCTGGGCTGCCGGGCACCTCCTGGGCGGGCAGGAGGCAGAGGGGACCCTCGCCCGGTAAGTCTAGGCAATGACATACTCACCACGTCAGGGTGCCCGGGCGAGCTATGACCACAGAATGAAAGCTAAGGAGAAAAATAAGAACAAAAATAGAAACTGAAAAGGAGGGGAGGGCAGAGACATGGAGGGAAAGAGAGAGAAAAGAGAGGTTGTAGTACTTCTGGCAGGAAACACTGGTCGCAGACAGAACAGGATGAGGGTCGGTGGGGTCAGGAGCAATCCTGCCGGCCGGTGTCCAGCAGTTTAAGGATCACGCCTCGGGGGGTGGGAGGGGGGGTGGTGGAGACACCTTGGGTCTGAGTGATGGTGCGGCCACCACACAGACACGCTCTGGGGGACCTCGCACTGGCCAGAGGCAGGGCTGTGGGGGACAGTCGGGAGGCACGTGCCTGGTGCATCCCTGCCTCTCAGGGGCGCAGGTTGGGGTGGTGAAGAGAGGGAGCAGATGGGAGCGAGTGCGGGAGAGGAGCTCTAGAGGCCGGCCTTGGGCACTTACTGGGACGAGATTGCTTGGCAGATGGCAGTGAAGTGCCCAGGTTATGTCACTGGCGGGAGGGGTGGGCAGGGCGGGGTGGGGAGAGCAGGGTGGGGCGGGGCGAGCTGTAGGAGGACTGCTGTAGGAGGGGACCCTCCCCGCTGCGAGCACAGAGCCTCTGCTGGCTCTTTGTGGAGGATGCGCAGCCATGGCTGAGGGAGTCCCGTCCAAGCACCAGCCTCCTGCTCTCTGGAAGGGACCAGCCATGTGAGCGGGTCTGACTGGCCTCTTCACTCGGCACTCAGGGGGGAGCCGGCCCTCCATGAGGTCTGCCCCCAGGCAGGACTGACCACGAGGACCCATCACTTGTGGTCACTAGCGACCACTGAAATGTCCCTAAATTACGGGAAAAGAACTGCCCTAAACTAAGCAAAGAGTCAGGGAAGAGTCAGGTCTGGGGAGCGCCGAGTCGCGCTAATTCCGGGAGTGGGCGGGGCACCGTGACCCACGCATCACAGGCCGGGATCCAGGAAAAGAGCCGCCCCAGGCCCCAAGCAGGGTGGCCCCAAACTAAACCCATGCCAGCCCCCGAGTTTCCTAAACCGAGAAGCAATTGTGTTAAGGACCAGAAACAAAAGACTCGTCCTGGCCGGCCGGCCTGTCTGAGTGGGACATCGTCCTGCAGAAGCTTGGCTTACAGACCAGCGAGCTTGGGGAACTGGGACAAATCACATGCCTCAGCCGGCTGTCAGGGAGCCTGGGTCGCTGGTCCGGCACACCTGCCACAGCTGGGGAAACTGAGGCCAGGAGAGACGCAAGAGGTCGCACAGCTGGGCCATGGCAGAGGGGGCGCCCCAGACCCCAGGCCCCAGGATCCTGGTCCAGAGCCGCTGTGGCCCTGAAGCCTCTCTCTGTTCTCCTGTGCCCCGACCCAGCCAGCACCCAGTGACGCCGTGTGAGTTACTGGTCCTTCTCTCTTTCAGACGCTCCGGTAACAAAACAAGCCCCAAAATGTGCATTTATTTTACCTTTTCCTCCAGTTCCTTTATTTGTCTCTTCTGAGCCTCTATTCTTTCTTCTAACTCTTTAATTCTCTGCAACGGTAAAAGGAGGGAAGGCTTCGGTCAGCAGGCTGCCTGGGAAACCACGTGGGAAGACGGCTTTCAAGGTTTCGCTCAGGGACCTGGTGCACAAACAGCCACCGAGCCACTGCCATGCTGTGAGGGGCCTGGAGCCTCAGCCTGTCCTCCCCAGGGCGTCCAGGACCGGGCAGGTCTGCTGGCCCTGACCCCCCGACAGACAACAGCCTATCCCAGCTCGTGGCTTTGCAACGCTCAACAAGAGGACGGCTCTCCCTCAGCCACGCTCCCCTCCCACCTCCTGCAACGTCAGACTATAAACCATGATGCTAGAAGCCCAAGGAAATGGTAAGGAATCGAGTCACAGTCCTTCCCAAACGTTACAGTGGAGTGACGGGTGATGTACTCCGCTCAAGCCCTTTAAGATGCAGTGCCAAGTAGAGGCACGTTTGCGTGTGCCCACAGCACCTGGGCCCTGAGGCAGCAGTGCTCTGACCACGGCCACCTGGTGGGGGTGGGGGCTGCAGGCGATGGTCCCACACTGACCTCCCTGGGTCTGGGGTGAGGGTCCTGGCAGCTGGCTAATCCTCTGCTCAGACGTCAGCCCCTGACAGTCACTGTCTGCCTCCCTGACTAGCTCCCCTGTTTCTGCAAGTGCAGGTGTTGCGTTTGGGGTGTTCTGAGCAGGGTACACATCCATGTCCCTTCCAGGTCATGCAGGACGCAGAGGGGAGAGGGGACAGGGGAGGCATGTCTTGCACACCAGGCTGCCTAGAAATGGACTGGCCAGAGGAGACCAGGGGCTGCTCCCTGGCCCACAAGCTGCTGCTCCCCGGATGGCACCTTCGCCATGCCCTCACCCGGCAGTCAGGGGTCCTGACAGTCAGGGGTCCCAGGAGAGGGGATGTGGCCCCGGAGGCCGGACAGTGTGGCCCCCGGAGGCCGGTCTGGAGGGGCAGGTGGTCTGTCAGGAGGGCCTGCATGGGTGTGGCTACTGGAGGGCATGTTCATGGCACCATCTCCCCCGCCCCCGGCGCACCTGCTGTGCCAGCTGCAGGAGCTCCATGCGCTCCCGCAGGATCTGGGCGTCCCGTTCACGCAACTCGCTCATGACCTGGCGCTTCCACTGCTCCACGGCCACCCTGAGCTTCTCCCGCTCCTCCTCCGACAGCAGCTCAGCCACCTTGGCCCCCGCCTCCTGCTGCAGGGCGTCGAACAGCATGGCCTCCAGCTCCAGGATGTGCTGGGCGGGAAGGGAGAGGTTAGTCCTCGCCCGGTGGAGCCGGGCACCCCGTCCTCGGTGTTACAGCTCCGAGCCACTGCACCGAGGGCACTGGACTGGCTGCAGTGATGCTCTGCAGGAGCCCGGGCCACCAGGGGGCGTCTCTGACCCTCCTGACAACTCCAGGAAGGAGAATGAAGGCCCCTATTTACCATGAGGGGCCGAGGGTCCCCAAGCCTCCCCGCTGGTAGAGGGCAGTCCCAGACCCCACGCCTGCTTCTAGCCCATCCTTGGGCCACTCGTCCAGGCCACCTCGCCGGGGCCCCTGGACGGTGTTTCCTGAACCAGCACAGGACACCCTCGGACTTTACGACTTTACGGATTCGCACTCCAGGGGGAGACAAAGGCACACGGACTAGGACGGTCCTGCAGGGAGACATTCATTCACGGGTAACCAGTGGCCAGAAAGCAGGAGGGGGCTTTGCTCCCGCAGGAAATTTTGGGTTCCTTCGTGGGGGACGCTGCTTCCCACCGGCAGGCCGACGTGTGGGCCAGGGAGTGGGGGGCGAACACAGCAGGAATCCCAGTAGAGAGGTGTTACTTAACTCAACTGTGTTCAGTTAATTCGCAAATGAATCCTATTTCAATGACTTCAATGCTATCCCCTCATTTCAAATGTCCCTTTGATTCTGCTCGTGTGCCCTCATTCCTGGGGCGAAGCGTTTGATGACAGGCCTGCGCATCCTCGGAGCTCGCCGGGCAAGGGGGTGTCAGAGGGACACAGGCAGGCAGTGACCCCACGGGTCACGCTGGCCCAGGCTCTCCCGGCAGGTCTGAGGCCTGGTCCACACAGGCCCCCGAGACACCCCACTGGTGAGGGAGAAGTTTCCCCATTCCCCGTCCCCCAGGGGTCAGCAGCACACGCCTCTCACCTTGTGAGCCTGGTCCAAGGCCTGCTTCCTGTAGTCCAGCTCCTCATCCAGGTAGCCCTTCTGTTTACTGAACAGCTCCTGAAACACAGAGGACCTGTGTCTCGGCCTCGGGGTCCGGCCTGGTGATGCCGGGGTGCGGGCCACATGGCGAGACACCCACTCACCTTCTCACTCTCCAGGTCGACCATCTTCCGCTGCAGGGCTGTCTCCATCTCTTCCATCTGCTGGAGCCACTGGACACAAACAGAGCAGGTGGGTGTGACCCAGGGGTGCCGTCCCCTCCCCCCGCCATGTAAATAGCCTGCGGAAGGAGGGAGGCAGGCCTGGCCTCGGAGTCCCCCCTACTCTTCCTCCTGGAGGGGAGAGCTCACCCTCATCGGGAGTTGGGTTGGTGCTGGCACCGTGGTCTCCCTGAGCTCCATGTGCCCAGGGTACAGGCCAGTACAGGCTCCAGCCCACACCCCTCACCGGGGATCCAGTTCACAACCCTAGCATGTGCCCTTGACCAGAATCCAACCTTGGACCCTTCAGTCCGCAGGCTGACGCTCTATCCACTGAGCCAAACCAGCCAGGGCATGGTGGGTGCTTTTTGACCTCTGTGTGTGCCAGGCCTTCCAAGGCCAACAGGATTAGCAACCCCCCTACCCTTCCTCCTCCCAGGAGGAGCATTTCTCTGAGCTGAGCACAGAGAGGGAGACCTGCTGGGAGCATCCACACAATCACTTACCTTTTCAGCCAAGGTCAGGACTGTCCTGGCTTGTATGACAACCACTTGCTCTTCATTGGTCAGATTCTGTGTCAAAGCAGAATAGACATATAGTCAGGGGCAGGGCCATCGGGGTAGCTGGGATGAATGACAGGTGCATGGTGAGACTGATTGATGGGTGCTCAGTGGGACTGAATAATGCATGCATGGTGGGGCTGAATGAGGGGTGCATGGTGGGGCTGAATGAGGGGTGCATGGTGGGGCTGAATGAGGGGTGCATAGTGGGGCTAAATGAGGGGTGCACGGTGGGGATGAATGAGGGGTGCACGGTGGGGATGAATGAGGGGTGCATGGTGGGGCTAAATGAGGGGTGCATGGTGGGGCTGAATGAGGGGTGCATGGTGGGGCTGAATGAGGGGTGCATGGTGGGGCTGATTGATCAGATGCAGGGTGGGGGGCTGGGGCCACAGCTAAGGCTGCTTTTACTAAAACGCCCTCCCAGGAGTCTGATATCCCGTTCGTGACCCTGTTCACTCTGGGCGCATTCTCCTTTCTGTCCTCTCTGGTCCTCTCACTGCTGGTGGCCATGATGGTCTAGTTAGCCCACTGAGGCAGAATGGGATGGTGGGCAGCGTATCAAGCAGGCAGGCAGCAATAAATGTGTCCCCACCTGTCTATGTCCCCATCTGTGTGTAAAGTCAGCCCTTTGCATACACAGCCCTGAATTAGTAAAACACTGCTGACAAATGTGGAGCAACGATCAGACACCCGTGGCTGTGAAACGGTCCCCGTCCTTGGTGTCTTTGCCTTTTTTCTGCATGTTTTATTCCTGTCTCATCCCAAGGAGCCCACCTGGGTGGTCCCTCCAGGTGGGGAGAGTTTGGTTTTGAGACCAATGAGCATCCTCAGAGGATGTGGACACAGGATGTGGTGAGAGCTGGGCTGTCCATGACTCCCTCTGCAGCGGGAGCTCCCTAAGGGCAGGGGTCTCTTGCCATCCCGATACCCGTGCAGGCGGCATAGGGTGGGGGGTAGTGACCAAGTGCTATGGGGGCACACTGCACCCGTGACTCAGGCACGGTACTGGGGCTGGGGCCAGTGCCCCTCATCCTTCCTGCCTCCGGGAAACTGGCCAGGCTGCATGTCTGGGTTTTGGTATGTGCTTGTGAGTGAGCGTGTGTGTGTGTGTGTGTGTGTGTGTGTATTTGCATGTGTTTGTTTCTTTTTCTTCCATGTACTGTGACAAGTGTACTAGTTTGTCTAAGTGCTCTTTCTTGAGAGCAGTGACCAGGATGGGAAGCCCAAGGGCCTTAGGACAGCTGTAGCCATGTGTTTGTTAGTACACCTTGGGGGAGGGGGAGAGTTCTGGGGTATGAAGTGGGGCTGCCAAGCAGAAGTCGATCCACCGCTTGGGCAGAGGACTCAACAAGTGTAAGATGATGGATGGAGGCAGGTTGGAGGGTGGATGAACAAAGGATGGAGGATGGGGAACTGATGGATGGAGAATAGAGGATTAAGGGTGGATAGATGGAGGATGGAGGATAATAGAGGATGGAGGATGGATGGATGGATGGATGGAGATGAAGGACAATGGAGGATAGAGGAGGAGCTTTGTGGATGGAGGATAGAGGATGAATGGATGGATGGAAGATAGATGGATGGAGGAGAGAGGATGAAGATAGATGAATGGAGGATGAAGGATGGATAGATGGAGGCTGGCTTGCTAGAGGATGAATGGTTGAGGGATAAATGAATGGAGGATAGATGGAGTATGAATGGATGGATGGATGGATGAAGATAGATGAATGGACAGAGGATGGAGGCTGGGATGTAGGCACAGTTACTTTGTCCCTTCACTAATTAGGATTCCTTCTGGGTGTTTGTTGTAGAAATTGGAAATCTGGCCTAAATGAGACTTGGGATATTGATGGGCTCTGGCCACCCTCCCAACCAAGAAAGTGAGACCCCCAGGTCTGGGTTGCGTGCGGCATCCACCCCAGCCAGGGTTTGGAAGAGTTAGAGACTGAACGGGATTCAGAAACGGAGAACATGTGGCTAGAAGCACCTCTGCTGGGGAATTGGCTGTGGGCTTCCCACCCTCGCAGTGCAGAGGCCCCAAACCCCCGTTTGGGTGCTGGTCGCCACCCACACGGGCACAGGAACAACATGAGAAAGGAACAGAATTTCTCCCAAATGCCTGGGGCCCATCTCAAGCAGCCCTGGCCACAAGGAGGGTGTGGCTGGGCAGGGCCGCCTGTGGCAGGACCACAGCGGGCTCACGGGGGCCCCGGACCACGGCATGAGGAGGCATGCACAAGTCAGGAGAGCAACATACACTTACGGCGTTGTCCCCCAAGATGTCCAGCTTCTTCATCAGCTCTGTGACCTGGATGTCCTGGAGGCAAAGACACGAGGGACACGCGGGAGGTGAGCGCCAGCCGGGTGGGGCGGGCGTGGGCACAGTTGGGACACAGTTGGGGGGGGGGAGTTACCGTCACGCCTTCCGCCTCACAGTACGCTTGCAGGGGGCTCTTGCCGTCCACGAAGGGGATGTGGTGGAAGTTGATGGCGGGTGACTTCCTCTCCCTCTCCTAGACAGAGAGCAAGGCTGGGCATGGGCCGCTGGTCCCTCCTGGCTCCTCCCACCACGGAAGCTGTGCTGGGGCAGCCCAGGGATCACAGGAAAGCCACAGAGGCCACCAAACGTGGTCAACACGACATTTGCGCATCAGGAAGGCCGAGTGAGGGGCCGGCTCAGCCCTCCATCACACCAGCCCCGCGGGCGACCCCACTCGGGCACCTCTGCTCACGCCCAGCACCCCGCCCACAGCGCACCTCCAGTTCCAGGATGCGGAATTCCAGCAGCTCGTTCTGGTCTTTCACATCCTGGACCTCGTGTTTTAACCGAGCCTCTTGCGTCTCCATTTGCTTAATCTGTAAAAATAAAAGATGGGCGAGACACCGGAGGTCATGTGAGGTCAACTCCCGGCCTTTCCCGCAGCTTCTGCTGTCCCTGGGGATGGTGACTGGCCCGGGTGCCTGGCCCAGAGCCCAGCCTGCAGGGACCCGCACTCGTCCGTGAGCACAGAGACATCATGCTTTTCCTAGGGGACCGGCCGGGCTCCGGGACGGGTCAGGCGCACCTTTTCCACAAGCTCTTGGTTCCTCCGGTACAGGGCTTGCTTCTCTCCGATCCACTTCATGTCCTTGAAAATGAAATGGACACGGAGGGATAAATACCCTGCAGGGTACAATCATACAGCCAACATTTAAATCACGGCTCCGCGGAGCAGAGGGTTTGACAGACGGGCGCAGCACCCAGCTCCCGAAGCAGCCGCCTCAGGACAACTGTCACCCTGCTAATGACAACCCATGACATCACCCACTTCTTGGGGGTCCTGGATAGAGACAGGAGGGGCCAGCCCTGCTTCGGTCAGACCCATGTGCCCCGCTGTGGACGCACTCACCTGGCCCTCCTCGGCCAGGGCCTTCTCCAGGTCCTCTATCTGTGTCTGCGCTCTCTGCACTTCTGCTTGGAGCTGCTCACGGGTCTGTGGGACCGGAGGAGAGACATCAAATTTTCCCTAAGAGCCAGGACATGCCCGCATCACAGAGGTTCAGAGGGCGACGGCGGGTTCAGCTAGCGGGGGAGTGGCCGTTAGCGGCTTTGCAAGGATGCTCCGCGAGGAAGGACCTCACGGCTCACGAAGGGAGGCCCTCACTCGATACGGGGATGATGTGTGATTCGTTCTGAGGGATTGTTAGGGGAAATCCTCCGGTGCAGGGTGAAGCAGCCAAGGAGGACTGGGCCTGCGGGGTGCGGGCCAGGCCTGGTCCAGTCCCTGATGACAGTGCGACCACACTCAGAGGGGCTTGCAAAGCAATCGCAGCCCAGACCCCGACAGAGCCTTCCCTTCAACGTGCGCCCTCTGCCGGCCCTGGGTTCCCTCCTTTTCCAAGCCTATCCCTTGTTTACAAAACCAGCCGCCTAAGTGCCACCGGGGCTTCCAGGGGGCCCAGCCCCCCTCCTGTGAGTTAATTCCCTCTGATGTCTAAACCACAGGGCGCTCCTGCTCCCCTGGGCACAGTTTCCAGGGCAAATGGATGAAAGCGTTTGGGGCCAGCTGGGCACAGGGCCTGGGAGGGGTCCCTCAACTCGAGGCCTCCTCTCCCCTCAGGGGCAGCAGGTGGGCACAGCATCTGAGCTCAGCATGTGTTGGATGAATGAATAATCTCAGCAAATTTCAAAACCTGAGCTCAAATGCTGGCCCTCCCTCACCTCTGTGCCTCCGCTAGGGGGCAGCACCGCTGCCAGGTGTGCAAGGAAGGCGGCTTCACCTTCAAAGAGCTGCACGCCCTACGACCTCCACAACAGCCCGGAGCAAAGCAAACGAACATGCTCTCTGGGGGTTCACCAGCACAGCTCTGCCAGGCCCCAGCCCAGCCGAGCCAGCGCCGGCTCCCCCAACACTGGTTCCTAGTTGTCTGGGCACGGGTCACACTGAGGTGGGGGGAGTAAGTGAAGGGCCCGGGCGGGAAGGTGGGGTGATGCCTATGTCCCTGCCTCGGCCGGGGTCAGGTGGGGAGGTCCCACTGGAGTGGAAGTCAGTTAGACCTTAACTTCTCGCTCTGCGTCCAGCGTCCCTCCGACCTGCTCCTGCAGCAAGGCGTACGCGCGCTGCAGGGCCTGGTACTCCATGGTCAGCTGCCGGAACCGCAGCTCCGTCTCCTCCTTGGCCATGCCCTGGAGAGGCGCACAGACACAGCGTCAGCGCCTGGCCTTGGCCTGGGGGCCCGGGAGGTGAGTCTGAGTCCCTGGGCTGGAAGGCCAAGGCCAGGACCCTGCTGGGCTTCCACCTGGAGAGGGCAGGAGGCTGCTGCTGCCTCCTGAGGCCCTACTGGACCCCGAAGGGTTCGCTGCTCAGAAAAGAAGCCAGAGGTCTGCGTGGGAGGGCGGCCGTGTCTGAAGCAACCAGGCCCAGGAACCCTAACCTGGCCCAGCTCCCCCAGCCCCATCCTGTTCCCTGAGGCTTATGGTGGCAAGTGTGCTGCTGTGTCTGAGAGCGCTGAGCAGCTCCCTGGCCCTGAGGCACCCACCAGACCTACCAGGGGCGGCCCCACCATGGCCTCAGTGCCCCCTGGGCCTGGTCCAGGCAGTGGACCACCGGCCACACCTTGTCCCCTGGCCGCAGGGCAGGACCAGCCAGGCTCAAATGGCTGCCTGGATCTGAGGTTGGCATCCTTCCAGAAGAAGGGACTGTCGGTGGGACACCCTGGCCATGTTTTTATCAGAGAGTTTCTGCTGCCCATGCACATCCTGGCGTGTGCCCTTGGCAATGGTGCTGACCCCGGCTGGGGTTCAGACCTCCCACATGCAGCCCCTTGAGAGGGCGGGAGCTCTCTTCTCTGCACCTCTGCAGAGGGAGCACTAGACGGTGAAGCAGATGGAGCGTGTGCTCGGAGAAAGGGGCGGCCAGCAGCTGGGCAGCAGCAACAGGAGTGTTTCTCCTGGTGCCAAACTCTGCAGGGAGCAGCGCCCACCCCTGCCCCTGCCCGCCCCCTCACCTCCTCCAGGTCATCGTCTGGGGTGCACGGGGTTTGGTCCGTCCTGTCGGTTTGGTAGGATATGGAAGAGCCGTCAGATTCCAGGGAAGCCTCTTCATCGTATCCGAAGAAGGTCTCCACGACCACCGGCTTTGGTCAAAGGGACAGCGTTAGGTCAAACCCAGCGGGGCCGAGCCGCCGGCCCCAGGGGCCTCTGCGCCGCTCCCGCCGGCTCCTCTGCTGCCCGGCTGTGGGCCAGCTGCAGGGCCACACCCCAGCGCACGCCAGGCTCCATCGCGGCTGCCCAACCTCAGGGCAAGGGGTTGCCATGTGGTCCTTCTGGAAGTGGGGCTGGCGCAGGGCCGAGGGGCTGGAGGTCTGTGGAGAGGTGGGCCACCTTCATGGTAGGGGCTGAGCACGGCCGCGGGACCAGCTCTGCGGGGCCCAGGGCAGCGGCACTCGGATGCCACTGTGTGGGTGACATGCCACAGGGCTAACAGTGAGCACTAGCCTGGCGTCCAGCACGTGGCCCCGTGTCTCGTGATTCATTTTTATTGTGTTTTCAAAGCATCGTCCTCGGCAGATTAGAATAAAAGTAAAAACAAGAGCCAAAGCTGGTCCTTCCCCAGCTCGTGGGAGAGCCCGGCCTGAGGGACACCCCACAGCTCCCCTCTGACATTGGCAACCCAGGCTCCCCTCTCCCCCGGACCCTGTGTGTGCCCGCTCATGGCCGGTCCACTGACCATCAAGGCTGGAGTGTGTGGTGGCAACCAATGTCCTGCCCTCGGCCCTCAAGCCCATCCTGCCCACCGATGGCTCCTGACTCACCCGACCTGTCCTTCCTCTCATCTCACGGAGCACCTGGCCCAGGTGGAGAGAGAGCCTCCCCCAGCCCGTTCACGCTGCTAGAGCCGGCTGTCGGGCTCTCGGCCTCAGAGAGCCCCTACACACCCTCAAATGACCCGACACCTCTCAGGCCTCCTGTGGGCCTTTCTCACAGCTCACATGAAGCTGATTGTTCAAAACCTAACAAAAACACACATGCTCTGCAAAAAGCAGGACATGAGTCAGGTCCTTAGGCAATGTCTCCCAGATGCCCCCTAATAAAAATCACAGGTTTATCACAAAGGATTGTGCAGCAGAGAAATGACCCAGGTCTTCGAGGGAGGGGCCTGCATGGGGCCTGTGGGTGGGTGTGGGGTAGGGGCTGCAGCCTGCAGATCCTCAGGGCCCCAGGGTCCCAGGCTGGCTCCTCCCCCTCCTTATTATTGTCATGAGTTCATATCTTCTCTTGGAAATGTGAAAGAAATAAGGCTGGCCCTAGCCAGTTTGGCTCAGTGGATAGAGCATCGGCCTGCAGACCAAAGGGTCCCGGGTTCGATTCTGAGCAAGGGCGTGTTTCTCGTTTGTAATGTGTAAGGAGGCCAGCCTGGGCCCTGGTTGGAGTGTGTGCGGGAGGCTACCAACCGATGTGTCTCTCTCACATCAATATTTCTCTCTGTCTTTCCCTCTCTCTTCCACTCTTTCTAAAAAATCAATGGAAAAATATCCTCGGGTGAGGATTTAAAAAAAGAAAAAGAAATACGGCTGGATTTTTAAATTTGAAAGTATGAACCGAATTATTTCCTCTGGGTCCTGCCTTGGTTATATCACAGTAACAATTTTTAGAAATAAAAAATCATTTTCTTTTCATTTCCAAAGGAAGAGATTCATTGCTCGCAGGTGGCTTTTAAAACACATGTTTTCTGTGCACCTACTGACATCCTCTCACTGACCTTGGGCAGCTTGGCCATCTTCTTCCTCTGTTTCCGAAATCTCAAAAGCTTGTCACGCTCCTGCAGAAACCAGTGGAAGAGATGCTTTGAGTAATTGCACAGTTCTATCAGTTTCAAATACACGGTCAAGGTTCCGTGCTAGCATGGGTGGCTGTAGACAGGCTGGCGTCCTAGCCACACTGACATGAACACGCTGAGCCCACGGCCTGCCCAGGAGCCTGCAGGTGTGGACGGCTCGTCCCCACTCCTCGGGCTGGAGGAGGGCCTGGCCTGTTTAGGCGGCTCGGCTCATCACACTCATCGGCCCCCCAGCTTCTTTTACGGCGGTGCTTGGCTGGGGGCCCACGTGGGGGCAGGGGATTTGAGTGGCAGGAACAGAAATGGGACCCGGGGGGGACGGATGAGCCAGCCCCTGCGGCCTCTGAGCAGATGCCTGCACATGGGGAGCCCACAGATGTGGGCATGGACCCCACGAATGTGTAAGGAGGCCAGTGGCCTGCTTCTCTCCGGGGAGCGAGGCTGCATTTTTGTGACCATGACCGAACCAACCAGCCCAGCCCGTGGGTGCATGCCGGCAGGGCCGGGGACCCCCCGGTGGGGGGAAGGGCCCCAGAGAGGAGAGCCCTCCGACCTCTGGTTGAATAAGTGACTCAGTACTGAGCAGAGCTGGGCACTGCCACCCACCAAAGGGGCACATGTGGCCCCCTGGCAGGTGGGCGTTCTCGGTCACCACGGCAAAGCCTCACAAAATCCCCCTGGGAGCTGGCACGGCCACCTGTCTGGCCTGGAAGGAGCCATGGGCACAGGCGGGGTCCCAGGAACAGGGCACCAGAAAGAGCGAGCACAGGCAGTGCCGAGTGTACTTACTAGCACGCTCTTCACGTAGCCGGCCGTTTCCAGGGTCTGGAAGAGAGGACATTTGCCTGGAGACTCAGAGAGCAGACCCCCGAGTCCCGCACCCCCCAACCTCTGCCGCTTCCTGACCGCAGCATGGCCCCCTCACCCCCTGCCCTGGGAGGGACGGCCTCACTCGGCCCTGATGGCCCTTCCTCCCGCCCTCAGCTGATCCCAGGCCCCGTGACCCGCGGAAGCACCCAGGGCCCTCAGTACACGGCGAACTGGCCTTTTGAAACTTGTGTTGATTTTTTCCCTTCCTGTCCCCCATAAGTTCTTATACTTTGATTTGGGGTCCTGGCCTCCAGAACTGGGAGGGAATACGTGGCTGTTGTTTTGAGCCCCGGGTTTTGGTCACCATGGCCCTAGCGCTGGTGTTGTGGCTCCTAAAACCCCTGGTCCCGAGGGGGCCATGGCCAGCGTGACTGGTGCAGGGACCCAGCCGAGACGAACCCAGGGAGGGGCCCGGAGGACAAACAACCCCGCCTCCTGTGGGCTCCTCTGGGCAGACCCCCAGGGCCAGGGGCTCCGGGTGGAACCTCCAGGGGGCAGCAGAGAAGGGAGAGAAAGGAGCTGGACGGCACCTTGGACAGCTCGTCTATGAGGTTCTGCTGCTCCACAATTTGGAGTTTCAAGAAGTCGATTTCTCTCTCATCCTGACTCTGATCCAGGTCGTTTAAGGAACTGGGTCTCCTTATGATCCCGGCTCTTTGTCTCTGAAAAGCCAACCAGACCATGTCACTCACAGGGTGGAGCAGGGCAGTCCGACTAGGCGATGGGAAGTCAGGGTCCTCCTGCTCTCTGCTCAGGCCTTGGAGCAGCCGGCTGTAGAGCCCGGGAAATCGAGGCTGCATCTTAGCACCTGAAACGGGGGAGGGCTGTGCGGCCTGGCTCGGGGCCCATGGGGAAACATGTGAGCTGTCCATGCCAGTTCACACCCCCCGGCCATCCCCAAAGTCAGAGTGTAAAAAGAAGGGGCTCTGCACAGGAGGGTGTGGAGGGCACTCCTCCCACCTCCCCCCTTTCTCACGTCCCTGGTTAAACTCTCACTCAGGGCCTCTGGGGCCCTCAGGGGCAGAAGAAACCCACACGACACCAGCCAATCACCCCCCACCTGCTTAGTGGTGGCGGCAGGAGTGAGCACCCCTGGGCCCCTGGTCGGTGCCCCTGCCCGGTCGGTTTGTTCCTTTCTCACAGCCAGTCCTGGGCTCCCACCACCTCTGCTCCAGGCACTCAGAGTTGGAAGGTGGCCTGGGGGTGGGGGTGTGACTGCTCAGAATCTTACTCCCTGTCACCCCCCAGGCAGGCGACACCCAGACCCTCACCTAAGGCCCTGGTAGCTCCTATCCCCACAGGAGACCAGAGGCTGGAGCCAGAGCCGGAGGGCCACCGGGATCCTGTCAAACCTCGTGGTGGGAAGCGGAAGAGGTTGTCATGGTTACCCTCCTGCTGGCTGACGGACAGGACAGGGCCCCTTACCATTTCTATGTTCTCCTGAGTGACAAATTTTAACTTGTTTTCCATCCGACGCAGCGTGTGAGACAGGCTCTCGTTTTTCCGAGTGAGGCGCTTGTTTTTATCCAGCAGTGGCTTATACTGGCTTTCAGCTTCTCTTAAACGCTTTAGCTGAAAGACAAAATTAGTGACAAGCACGATTGTTTTAGGTGTGACGGAGAACCAGCAGGTCACCCTCTGGAACCTGCAAGCTGAGCAGAACAAGCTTGGCGACAGCTGAGGGTTGGAGTCGAGTCCAGTCGGAGCTGGGGAACCAGGACCCCCGGGAGCCTCAAGCAGCTCTCATCCAGGGGACAAGCCACTCAGAAACCCCAGTGGCTGCAAGGACTGACGGTGATGGCGCCCCTGCAGGCGGAGGTCCTCAGATAATGCGAAGAACGGAGGATGCTTTTGCCCAATGATGCAGAGCAGGGATCAGCCAACCAGGGTCTGAGGCCCATAGCTGGCCCTCAACCTGGTTTTGTTAACGGTTTTATTGGAAACAGCCAAGAGGCCTCGGCACAAGCCCACCCTTGTCACCATCGCTCCTTTCCACGAGGAACTGGGAAGTGGGCTGCAGCCCTAAGCCCACGGACCCAGCCCCACCCCCGTCGGCTGCGCTCACCAGCTCATTCCTCTCTTCGGACAACAAGGCGTTCCGGTCCTCGAGTTTCCGAATGATGGCGCTTAGCTCTGCGATTTTAAGTTGGAAACGCCGGGCATCCTTTTCATCCAACTGCTGTTCCTAAAACAGAAATCAACTGCAAATAACTGTTCGCAGATGCAGACGGAGAAACCTTGCAAATCCTAACAGTGTGGAGACCAGAGCACTTTCGAGTCTTGATGGCTGGAGACCCTGGATGGGCGGTGGGCGAGGGACCCTCCTAGGGGCTGGGGCGCCGTGGTGGCAAGCCGTGAGATGGGACAGAATGCAAGAGCAGAAATGTCAAGAAAATGCAAATGTGGAAGGTGAGGGCATGCAAATGCAGGCACCCCAACCACAGCGAGCCCAGAAAGCATCGGAACCAGCCCACACACGCCTCAGTCTCTGCTGTCTGCACCCCAGGCAGGGTCTGGCCCCCAGGCAGGGTCCGCACCGCAGGCGGGAAGTCACCTCCCTAGCCTTCTAAAGTGAGCTCAGGTAGACGTTGGACTAACGACTCTCAAAAGCTGCTTCCCCAAGATTATGTTTCTGAAAGGTCACTTTGGAACTTCAGGCAAAAATCTGTGACAACATTTTAATTCAGTTTGAGAGCCTCTGGGGTTCGCACAATCTATCGGGGATCATGCCAGGGCAGGCGCTGTCTGATTCAGCTCAGCCATGTATAATAGGATTATCAAATGTCACTTTCTACCCTGAAATATCACCGTCCTAGGGCTGGCTCAGCTTCACACTGGGTTTTGTCCTAAAGCAAACGGGTGCCCAAAAGGACAGAGGAATGATTCCTCATTCAGCAGGTGCAGGAGAGGCTAGGGGCAGACCCAGACGGACCTCGGACCTCGTGGAGGGTCCGTGGAATTCAGACCCTCCCCTCCCCCCCGCCCCCGACTTCCCAGGACCACCCAAGAGGGCTCTGAATGAGGAGCGGCAATGAGGAGATGAGTGGCGTCATGGCCGGGCAGCTGTTGGCCCTGTGCCATCCTGGCGGGCCAGGGAGGAGCAGGAGAGTGTCCCGGTTACGTGAAAAGCGGGTGGGTGGGCAATGGGTGATGTGAATGGCGGAAATCACTGCAGGGGGGTCAAATTCAGGATGAGGGGAGCAGGGAGCCGGCCTTCCCGGCAGAAGGCAAAGCCTGTGTGTGGACAGGGAAGCAGCTGAGCCTCATGTCCCACCAGCCCGGGACAGGAGCCAGCACCAGCCAATACCAGGGACCCTCATCAACCTGGGGGGTCCAGTGGCTCAGATGGGCTCCAGCGGGAAGCCCAAAGTTTTGGGGGTCCACGGCAGGGGGACCATGTGAAGGCAGGGCTACACACTACGTTAACAAGGAAGGAAGGACAAAGGCTACCCGCCCTCTTGGCCGTGCCAGAGAGCCGAGGGGCCCGGGGCCTGGCTGGCGGGCTGCAGGCACAGTTGGTGTTCCAAGGGTGGGAGGGCTCTGGCCATGGACACGGCTCCCTGGGGAGCTTCCTCGCAGGGACACGCAGCCGAAAGCGTGCGACGGGGAGGTGCTTACAGGGCTTCCCGAGTGGTCTGAGGCGTCTCCTGCACCGCTTGCATAAGGAAGTTCCCGTCTGGGGCTGCCCAGGTGCCGATCAGCCTCTTTGACCTGGGACAGCTGCTCATCTAGAGCCTCTTTTTGGAGCTGCAGTCTCTGCGCATGCCCGGCTTGAATCCCTAACTCTCTCTCCAGCACGAAGACTGCTCTGTCCTTAAATTTTATCTCCTCCATCTACAAGGAGAACAGAACACAATCACACAGGCAGGCAGGATGCAGATCTGTTACCATAGCAACAGGCAGAATGCACAAGCATCAGGAGGGGTCCCCCCCAACACACGGCAGCCCTCCCCACTCTCCCTGTGCTCAACCTCCTAACAGCTGTGAGGAGCCACCTGCCTCCCAGCCCCTCCTCCTGGAGGCCATAGGTGCATCTGAGGCCCAAGGTGGGCTGCCCTCAGAGGGGAGGGCAGAACCAGCCCCACCACCGCCCACTCCTCAGACACGCAGACGCGGGTGGCCTGGGCATCATTACAAACGACGCTAGATTTGCAAGAAGACTCGGTTTAAAACGTATTTCAAACAACAGAGCAGGATAGGGCGTCTCGTTGCTTTGCGCGCTGTTTAAGGTTACAGTAAGCTAATAAATCAGCCGTCTGCTGAAGTCAGCTGGGAAACAAAGAGATGAGACGTCTAATTAGCCCAGATCGCAGCATTCATGGGGAAGCGGTGAACTGAATAGAAAAAAGAAAAAGAAATCCTTAATTGCTAAATTCCCATTTACTGGAACTCACAGAAATGCAGAGGCAACACAGTCAATTAGTGGAAACAGAGAGGCCAGTGAAGAGAAAACCAGATTAACACGCAGCTATATCCTGTGGCCTGACATTTCCCCTCTTACGGAGATACTTCGCAAACATCCTTTTTCTTTCACCAGGAAACAAGGAAATCAGTCTCTGCTTACTCATCCCACTTCAATCCGCTGCTTCAGAGGGCGGGCGGGGTTTGATTTTTTAACGATGGGAAACTCACTTTAAGATCACAGTGTCGGGAGGGGAAGTTGGGGGTTAATGGGGGGATGAGGACACATTTATAATACCTTAACCAATAAAGAAATTAAAGATTAAAAAAAAAAGATCACAGTGTCTCCCAGGGGGTCCTCCTAAGGCCCTGGGTCTCTCGCATGCAGTGTCTCCACTGAAAATTCTCAGTCAAGGGCACGTTTCTATATCTTCTACTCCTGTCATAGTCACCTGCTGCTTACCCACGGGGACATGTTCTGAGAAATGCCTGGTTAGGTGATTTTATTGTCCTGTGAACATCACAGAGGCACATAAATCCAGACAGTACAGCCTACTGCTCACCTGGGCTACATGGTACAGCCTACTGCACACCTGGGCTACATGGTACACCCTACTGCTCACCTGGGCTACATGGTACAGCCTACTGCACACCTGGGCTACATGGTACACCCTACTGCTCACCTGGGCTACATGATATAGCTTACTGCTCACCTGGGCTACATGGTATAGTCTACTGCACACCTGGGCTACATGGTACAGCCTACTGCTCACCTGGGCTACATGGTACAGCCTACTGCTCACCTGGGCTACATGGTACAGCCTACTGCTCACCTGGGCTACATGGTACAGCCTACTGCTCACCTGGGCTACATGGTACAGCCTACTGCTCACCTGGGCTACATAGTATAGCCTACTGCTCACCTGGGCTACATGGTACACCCTACTGCTCACCTGGGGCTACATGGTACAGCCTACTGCTCACCTGGGCTACATGGTACAGCCTACTGCTCACCTGGGCTACATGGTACAGCCTACTGCTCACCTGAGCTACATGGTATAACCTATGGCACACCTGGGCTCCATAGTTTAACCTACTGCACACCTGGGCTACATGGTATAACCTACTGCACACCTGGGCTACATGGTATAACCTATGGCACACCTGGGCTCCATAGTTTAACCTACTGCATACCTGGGCTACATGGTATAACCTACTGCACACCTGGGCTACATGGTATAACCTATGGCACACCTGGGCTCCATAGTTTAACCTACTGCATACCTGGGCTACATGGTATAACCTACTGCACACCTGGGCTACATGGTATAACCTACTGCACACCTGGGCTACATGGTATAACCTACTGCACACCTGGGCTACATGGTATAGCCTATTGCACACCTGGGCTACATGGTATATAGCCTATTGCACACTTGGGCTACATAGTATAGTCTACTGCACACCTGGGCTACATGGTCTAGCTTTCTTCCAGATGCCATTCATACACTCCTTGGTGACACCACCCAAGCTCAAGCAATGCAGTCACAGACGTTGTGATCCTTCCAGAATTACATCAGTGTCTTCTCAGCACCTTCCTCCATTGCAGCAGTAGCTTGGGCAAAGGTCCTCCTCAGGTAACAGGCCTGAAAAGCTGCTATAACTCCTTGATCCACGGTTTGATCAAAGAGGGGGTGTTTGGAGGGAGAAGCACCATGTTGATATTGGATGGAGATCACCAAGGAAAGGAGGATGTCCAGGAGCGTTATCAACCATAAGCAAATCTTGAAAGGTATGTTGTTCTCCACACAGTACTGCTGCTGGTGTAGCAATTCAGGAAGGCGTCTCGGAGGAGGAGCCGGGTCCTCCTTCACTTCTCGTTGCTCCCATAGGAGACCTGCAGTAAGATGTCTGAAGGCCCTGGGTTCTCACTGTGCCCAATCACAAAGGGTTTTGACCTGTAGCCTGTAACATTGCCCCCAAACAATGTCCTTAAAGACCTTGAACCCTGGCATCCACCTGGCCTCCTTATGGGTGAAAGTCCTTTCAGGCATCCGTTTCCAGAATCGGGAGGTTTCATCCATACTGAATATTTGCTCAGGGAAGTAACTGTATTCCTCCTCTATCAGGTTATCTAGAGTTTCCAACAATCCTCAGCTGCCTTCACACCAGCATGCTCAGACTCGCCACTCACTCTCACGTTACGGGATGAGTAACAATTCTCGAATCGCTTAAACCACCCAGAACTAGCAGCAAATTCAACACCGTAGTTGGATCCAGCCTGTCCTTTCAACATCGCAAACCTTTTGCTTTGGCCGTGGTCATCATGGTGCGGAGAGGGATGCACGTTTGCATCTGGTCTTCAGCTCAGGTCACTAGAAGTTTCTCCATGTCTGATATAGGCCCTCCTAGAATCTTGGTTAGTCCCATTGCTTCGATTAAGCAGACCCTTCAATTGCCTCCATCACTTGGTTCTTGTCCATGATCGTAGCTGTGGTGGAATGGGACACGCCTGACTGGGGAGCAACCACCATCCTGATTTTCCACCTTCGTGTCCTTAATCCCTTTCCTTTTCTTTCCAGGGCCCCCACCTCACCTCACCACCAAGAACTCCCCCTGCCTCACCCCCTCACTCCCAGTTATAGGAGGTATAGAGAAATGGCAGGGCCCGGCTGGCATGGCTCAGTGGTTGAGTACGACCTATGAACTAGGAAGTAGGTCACAGTTTGATTCCCAGTTGAGGCCCAGGCCCAGGTTTCAGGCTCGATCCCCAGTGTGGGGTGTGCAGGAGGCAGCCAATCAATGATTCTCTCTCATCATTGATGTTTCTATCTCTCTCTCCCTCTCCCTTCCTCTCTGAAATCAATAAAAATATATTTTTAAGAACATTTTTATTAAATTCATTAGTTAATAAGGGGACAAGTAAACGTTGCAGCCAATTTGAATGAGGATTTGATCTAAAGAGAGTTGCACCGCCAGCCTGGCAAAGACCATTTGCAGTGTCTGAGGAAGAGTCATTTGTCCATCTGTGGACAGGAATGGCTGCATTGCTAAAGGTTTCCTCCAGGTAAAGGTCTGTCTCTGCAGAGTCTAGAGGTCAAAGGTAAAGGGGCACATGGTGTGAGCTCGGATCGCCCTCAGCATTCTTACAAAAGGAGACGGAAATCTTCTATTTCTTTTCTTGCTTATTTCAATCTTCCACAGTTTTTCCCTGTAGACTCCACAGTCAATTTGGGGACTCTCCTTTATTTATCATTTTGACGTTCTTTCCCCCCATCGTCCCCGGAATCCACCCTGGAGATGCTGGGTCCCCAGGGCCATTTTTGGCCAAATTTTCACTCAAAGCGGAAGGGAAGGAATGGACTTGTTCCGTGCCTGCCTGGCTCTGATATCAGTTTTCTGTGAGCTCAGCAGGCCCCCCTCCCCAGCTGAGGTTGTATGGAAGACTCAGGGGCCAAGAAAGGTCCAGTTACTCTTGAAGAACAAAGCTAGAGAACGCTCCTCCAGAAATCAAGATGTATTATAAAACGGGAATAATTTAAAAATGAGCTCCAAGAGGAGCTGTGATAGAACAAACTAGAAAGCCCACTCATAGAATAATGAGGTGGCCCTGTGGATTGGGGGAAAGGTGGTCTTTTTCATAAGGGCTGCTGGGACAGTTGTATATCCATGTGGAAAACGTATAACTGGACCCCCACCTTACAGCGCGCGTGCACACACACGTGCGCACACACAAATGCACACATACAACCCAGGCACGGCAAACACCTATGCATGAAAGATAAAGTTCTAAAAAGATAACACTTCATGGCTCCAGAATAAGAGAATTTCCTAAACAAGACACGATAAGCACCAGCCATACAGGAAAAGATCAACAAATTAGGCCACGTTAGAATGTAAAGTTTTAGATCATAAAATGGCACCACGAAGAACAGAGAAAGCTAAACCAGTGTGAGGAAGGGGCTTGCATTTCCATATACATTTTAGAATCAGCTTCAGGAAAGCTGCTGGGATTGACAGGCGTTGTTTGCTCCTTATATTAATCCGGGGAGAAATGCCATCTAACAATGCTGAGCTTCCAATTCATGAACGTGGAATGTCTATTTACTTGTTCAGTTCACCAGTCCATGAACATGGAAGCTCTATCTTTGTTTATTCAGCTTACCAATCCATGAACATGGAATGCCTATTTGTTTATTCAGCTCACCAATCCATGAACATGGAATGCCTATTTGTTTATTCAGCTCACTTTTAGTTTCTCTCAGTCGAGTATTGTAGTTTTCAGAGTTCAAGTCTTGCACATCTTTTGTTAAACTTCTAAATATTTTATTCTTTTTTATGCCATCATGATTGGAATTTTTTAAAATTTAATTTGAATTGTTTGTTATTACTACATAAAAATACAACTGATTTTTGCATATTGATCTTGTGTCCTGAAACCTTGCTGAAGTCATTTAAAAGGTTGTTTTGGGCTCGGCTGGTGTGGCTCAGTGGTTGAGCGTTGACCTATGAACCAAGAAGTTTAGGAATGAAGTTCCATTCCCGGTCAGGGCACATGCCCTGGTTGCAGGCTTGATCCCCAGTGGGGGTCATGCAGGAGGCAGACAATCAATGATTCTCTCTCATCACTGATGTTTCTATTTCTCTCTCCCTCTCTCTTCCTCTCTGAAATCAAGATATATGTGTATATATGTATGTATATATACATATATTTTAAAAAGAGGAAGCTAAGGGGAGGATCTAACGCCTGGGAGGGGACAGGTCACCACCCCAGTAGTTCTCCCGAGACACTGCCCACACCCATAAAAGGCAGTTCCCTCCATTTGGGTGCCCATTTGTTCCCATGATACCTGGTCAATGTAATTTAGGGAGGCCTGGAGTGGGCGGGTGGGGGCCAGAAGAAGGGCTGAGATGGAGGAATCTGAAAGTGAAAGCTTAAGCATGTTTTTGAGAATTTGGAACAAATACCAGGAGAATCTGCTAGAGCTGCCTCTGGGGCGTCTGTGTCAGGGGTAAGGGGCCACAGGGAACTGCTGGCTCTGTGTCAGCCTTCAGTTAAGGAGATGAGGCCACCTATCTCCTATGAACACTGAAGCCAGTCGATGAATGAAAGGGTGGTGCGGGGCTGGACAGCGGTGCTGACGTGGCACCAACACAGGGCTGGGGGGTGGAGCCATGGGGGAGCATGGAAAGGGGACACTCTGGAAAAGGAAGGTCTGGGGCCCCCGTGCACACACTGTGGCAGAGTCGTGTCTGCCTCACAGCGCTCAGTTTCCCTCCGGGCCATGGGTCCAGAGGGCTGCAGCCCTTCTGGGACGTTCAAGGCGACAGCACCGTTTGGAAAACAGAGCCCCAGGGAAGTAGGGGCAGGTGGCCTGGGTGCAGGGCCAGGCTGTGCCCCATGGAGGGGCATCCAGGGTCCTGGGTGTCACCAGCAGAGCCAGCCGGGTCCTGATGAACCGCACACTGGGACGTGGGGCATGCCTCTAACGCTGACCTCCATTTCCCCAAATCACCAAGGAGGTCCCGGCTCCAAGGGGTGAGGAGAACCGGCACAATCCCTCAGGATTCCTGAATATTCTCCGACTCCCCAGCCCTGGGGCTCTGAGGACACTGACTCCACGGGGCCTGCCAGGGGACACGGTCTCTGACCACAGGATGCACAGGTGCCCATGCCTGACCTGCAAGATGGTAACTTCATGCCATCCAGCCTCCGAGCATGCACAGGGCACAGGGACATCAGGATGGCCTCAGGGACATGCCACCACCCCCTGTCCTCGTGGTTTCACCTCTCTGGACCCAGTGAGCTGGACAGACGGCAGAGCCCGCCCAGTGATGGAAGAAGTGACTGTGCCAGCAGAGCACTAGCCCTGCTTGGCTTGCAGCCCAACCTGCACTCTAAGGAGGGGAGGCTTTCATGACGTTGCAGGCATCCTGTTCTGGCCCAAACGAGACCCAGGATGTAAAGCTGGTTGGAGAGGGGCAGAGGGAGGACCTCTGCCTGCCAGCTGGCCCTTCCGACCTATCCTCGCATCCGCATGTCCCAGGACCAATAGTGATGGTGTGAGTGCCCGTGCCCAGAAGCAGGCCCACCACTGGCCGCCCTCCCGTCCCCGGTCCCCAGTCCCCCTGCCTTCGCCGCCCCTCCCCTACCCGCCACCTGCAGCCCACGTACCAGCCTGCGGATCTCACGCTCACACTCCTTCTTGATGCGGGAGATCTCCTCCTGGTGCAGGTGGTACACGCTCCGGATCTCCGCGGCCTTGATCTTGTCGGCCTGCATGACCATAGTCAGCGCCTCCTCCACCTGCCGCTTGGCCCCCTTGAGCTCCAAGATCTCCTGCTGCATTTTTACCTTCTCCACCTCGAACCCCTTCTTGGCCTCCTCCTTGGCCTCGGACAGCAGCCCGGTCTTGACCTTTTCGGGGCCGCCGTCGCGCAGGGCGTGCAGCAGCGCCTGCAGCCGCTGGTTCTCGTTGTCCTTGATCTTGATGACGCGCAGCAGCTCGGCCTCGTGCTGGCGCAGCAGCGTCTCGCGCACGGCCTGCAGCTCCTTCATCTTCTCCTCGTGCAGCTTGCTCTTCAGCTCCGTGAGCAGGACCGCGTTCTTGTGCTGCTCGTGCTCGCGCACCTGCTTCAGCTCCTGGTTCTTCTCTCTCTCCACCCGGCTGACCTGCAAGACAAGAGCGAGGCTGGGTCGTCCCCGAGCAGCCCCTGTACTGGCCAAAGTCTGGCCACTGATTTTACAAAGTTTTGTTTGCAAACTGGGTTGCTGCTTACATTCAAGAATGTCTCCTTAAAATGCAACTGAGCCCTAGCTGGTTTGGCTCAGTGGATAAAGCGTCAGCCTGTGGAGTGAAGGGTCCTGGGTTCGATTCTGGTCAAGGGCACATGCCCTGCTTTCGGGCTCGATCCCCAGTGTGGGGCGTTCAGGAGGCAGCCAATTAATGATTCTCTCTCATCATTGATGTTTCTATCTCTCTCTCCCTCTTCTTTCCTCTCTGAAATCAATTAAAATATCCTATATAACAAAAGCCTAATATGCTAAGTGTCCGGTCGTCCAGTCGGCCATTCAACCAATCAAAGCGTAATATGCTAATGATATGCTAAGGCCACTCAACTGCTCGCTATGACATGCACTGACCACCAGGGGGCAGATGCTCTGACCAGTAGATTAGCTTGCTGCTGGGGTCCGGCCAATTGGGACTGAGCGAGAGGGCCGGACACACCCTGGAGCCCTCCTGTGGTCCCTCCCCGGCCCCAATCGTGCACCAGTGGGGTCCCTCGGCCTGGCCTGCACTCTTTCGCAATCTGGGACCCTTCGAGGGATGTCGGAGAGCCAGTTTCGGCCATATCCCGCAGGCCAGGCTGAGGGACCCCACCGGTGCATGAATTTGTGCACCGGGCCTCTAGTATTAAATAAATAAATAAATGAAATGCCACTGAAACAGGACCGAGTGTCATAGGTGGAGCTGTCTCTGCACCCACAAGTGTCACAAGAGAACTTGGGCTGGAAGGTCAGGTCCACGGCATCTGCTCTGCGGCTCTGCAGGGACAGGCCGGTGAGGAGGTGAAACTGTCGTCTCTTAAAGGAACCTGTGTGGAGGGTGGGCAGGACATCCTGGGCACAGCATGTGGGAACAGGGGCGCTCTTGCCCTTTGCCCAAATAATAGGTGTTGCACTTACCTCCAATGACATTCCTGGCAAATGGGGACACCAAGCTGTCTAGATGGCGTCTGATATATAGGCCTTCGGAAAACTCAGATTTTTTACTGAATGTTTTATTTTCATCTAGAACAGTGGTTCTCAACCTTGGCTGCACATTAGAATCACCTGGGAATCTTTTAAAAATTCTATTTCTGGGCCTCATCCTCCGGAAATTCTGTTTCTTTGTTACTAATGTTGTGGCCCCACCCCATAACAAAGAAACAGAATTTCCGGAGGATGAGGCCCAGAAATCAGGATTTAAAAAAGATTCCCAGGTGATTCTAATGTGCTGCCAAGGTTGAGAACCACTGATCTAGAAGCTGTGGCCATGGCAAAATGACTCCAGCTCTCCAGCCCACCCCAAGCTCCTTGCCCCCCACCCCCTCCCCCGCTATTGGAGAGAACCGGGGGGGGCAAGACTCCATGTGGCATGAAGGGTGGGTGGAATCCAGGCCTGCCTGGGTCCATGTGGGCCAGACGATGGGAGAAGCCTGCCACCCAAGCCACAGCCCTCGCCGCCTCTCTCCAGCTCACAGAGGGTGCCACCTGCTTCCTGCAGGACCCTGAAAAGCAGTCGCCTGACAGACACCTGACCCTTAATTGTCCAAACAGACACCCCTCCCTGCCCCCCAGAATCGCAGTGCCATCCGTGGATCTGGAGCCCAGCTTGCCTTCCCTCCTAAGAGACGACATAACGTTCTCCTTCATGAAAGCTTCGTGGATGGGACTGAGCAGAGAAGGAAAACGGTGTGATGTGCGTCGGGTTATGGATGGAGAGTGGAGGAGAAACAAATCCAAAAGAGTTCAAGGTGAGAAGGGGCTTAATCCTGACTCTGATCCAGGCTGTTGGGAGTGACAAGGAGGCCACACTGAGGTCACCTTGCCATCCAGTGCCCTGGGCTTTGTCACAAGAAAGGCCCCTGCCGGAGTCAGTGTCAGACACACACGACAGGCCTGGTGAAGAAATGACACGACACCAAGCACTTCCCTCCCTGCCGTCCAGGCAGCACCCACAGCGGCCACCGTGTGGGCCCTCTGCATTCGGGGACAACTCCGCATGCCAGGCCACCCCGTGTCTGTGCCTCCACCCGTTCCAGCCAGGCAGCCGCCTGGGCCTCCCGGGGACTCTGTGACCTGCTGGCCCAGGGCAGGTGCTGACTCCTGAGCGGCCTCGAGGTCACCCTGACAGCTGCCTGCTGGTACCCGCGCTGTCCCCGGGGCTCCGGGAGCGTGTCCTCCCCAGCACCAATGGCAGCAGGTCCTTTAACTGCCCCCTTTCTACAGAGCAGGGGACCTGAGGTGGTGGGTAAGGGTCCAATAGTAAGGATGCCAGGCTTCGTGGCCCGGGGGGTCCCTGACTGAACCAGGAAGTCAGGCAACTCAGAGGAGAAACGGGCCCCAAAGAACCTGGCTCCCTCCATGGCCAGGCCTCCTAGGAGACACGTGGGGGAGACTTACAGTCTCCAGTCCACAGCCGAGGACCTTTCAAACCCTCCGGGAGAGAATCCTCCCCCCCCCCCAGTCCTCTCCCTTCACAGCCCCCTCCCACAGGCCCGTGAGCGCTTCTTAGTCCTCCTGGGATTGTACGAGGAGGGGCGAGTCATGGAGAGAGGAGGGCAGTGTGGGCAGTGGGACGGTGCTGAGTGGGCACCACCTCTGACCAGTCTCTCACCCTCCCCACCCGGGTCCCCCAGGTCCCTCGTCATCACAAGCCCAGCCTTCCCTACAGGCTGCAAGGACCCCCAAGGGCTGGGTTTCTGCGTTTGGTCCCCACACCTGGCCGCTAGAAGCCCAGGCCCGGCTGTTGCCTTCAACTAGCTGAGGGCCATGCTGGACCCGGTATATTTGGGTTCAATGCCACTCTGAACACTCCAGGGGGAAAGGACATTGCCCAGGGATGAGGTCCTGGGCTTGTCCTGGCAGCCAGGGCTGTTCCCACGTGGCTGGGGCCTCGGCCTGTGTCCCTCTGCCCCTCCCCAGAGCTGCCTGGAGAGGCTCTGGGGAGTCAGGACCAACTGGGTAGGCACTCCTGCAGAGACCTGGCTACACCCCATACCCCGCTCTGGGCTGACCCAGGGGAGCAGGGGAGGGGCAGAGAGGGGGGAGCTGGGTGTGGGGAGCCCACCTTGCTCTTCTCCTGCTGCAGCTCAATCTGGATGTCCGTGAGCTTGGCCCGTAGCTCCTCGTTGGCGGCCTGCAGCGCGGCAAGGACCTCGGCCTTGTCCCCCTTGGCTCGGCTGCCCACGCCCTTCTTGGACATGGTGAGGGGGGCCCGAGGGGCGCCGGGAGCGGGCCGCCTGTCTGGGCTGGGCTGTCCACGCCAAGCTGGGGCAGGTGTCGCCTTGCTGCCTCTCCGCTACATTTTCTCACTCACCTGCAGGGAAAGCACACCTGGGTGAGCAGCCAGCCTCAGGCCTGAGCTCGGGGCTGGTGGAGGCAGGGAGGGGGGGCCAGTCAGTCTCCCACCTGCCCTGAGGGCGCTGGCCTGACTGCAGGCCGGTCCCAGATGGCAGAGGCCGGGGGCCCTCCACAGCACCCCTGACAGGGACCCGTAGGTAAGAACCTTTACTCTCCGCCCCTTCGGTTACCTGGCTCCCTGGGGAACTAAGGGAGCATTTCCCTGCTGAGCTGTTCAAAGCCCTAGGTCTACTGAGAATATTCTCAAATATGTGACCCTGATCTTGGTTTTGAAGAAGAAAATCCTCGTGTGTTGGTCCTGGTTGTCCCACCTGGGAACCGACGGCAGAGCCAGAGGTCAGAGGTCAGAGCGGGCACTCTCATCTCCACCCCACCTGACACGTTTTCCGAGCTGATCTCATTCATACTCAGTCAGCAGCAGGATTATTTACTAATTTCCACGTTACCCATGCATCCTTCCCACAACCCTGCCAGCTCCATTTTCTCTGAACGACTGGGGAAACGGAGGCACAAAGTAATAACAACTGCTTCAAAAAAAAAAAGTGTTAGGAACCAGTTTATAAGATGCTATTTCCCTAAAACACAGGAGTTCCTGTGTAGAGTGAGGTCAATGGACACATTGTGATTCTTTTTTAAAAAATGCATATTCACCCTAACCGATTTGGCTCAGTGGATAGAGCGTCGGCCTGCGGACTGAAAGGTCCCAGGTTCAATTCCGGCCAAGGGCATGTACCATGGTTGCGGGCACATCCCCAGTAGGAGGTGTGCAGGAGGCAGCTGATCAATGTTCCTTTCTCATCGATGTTTCTAACTCTCTCTCTCCCTTCCTCTTTGTGAAAAATCAATAAAATATATTTTTTAAAAAAAAGAAAAAAATACATATTTTATTGGTTTCAGAGAGGAAGGAAGAAGGAGAGAGAGAGATAGAAACATCAATGATGAGAGAGAATCATGGATCGGCTGCCTCCTGCATGCCCCACACTGGGGATCGAGCCCACAACCCAGGCATGTGCCCTGACCGGGAATCGCACCGTGACCTCCTAGTTCGTAGGTCGATGCTCAACCACTGAGCCACACCGGCTGGGCCACATTGTGATTCTTGATTAAGTTGTAAAGAGAAGGCAGCATCCACCCACAGGGCTGGTGGGTGATGAGGACTCGAGCCTTAAACAGGCCTGGTTCTGAAGATGAAGCAAGGACCTGCAGTGCCTCCCTCTCCCCAACCCACCAGGAACCGGGAGCCAGCGGGGCCTCCCACTGGGCCGTGGTCGGGTGCCCACCACACCCAGCACTAAGTGCAGTCCCAGCCGAGCCCCCACCCCCACCCCATGGCTTCCAGACAAACGCCAGTTTGGCATATGCCACCAAAGAAGCACCCCGTTCAGGATGAGCAATGCTGCCCAGAAGGGAGCAGGACAGCGCCCCTCACAGGCAGGAGCCGGGACACAGAGGCACAGAGCATCTCCCTGGGAGAGTCTGCACATGCTCCTCCACCGTCAACTCCCGGCCGGTATGAATGCATCTAAATATAGAAGCGAGTTCAGCAGGAATGAACCTGTACAGAAAGACCTCAGTCCCCCCCGAAAACAGCAAAGCCTCTGACAATTCACCAAAGCAGCACACACATCGCCCAACCCTGACGGCCTGTGCTCTCCTCACCCGTTTCCTGGTGACCCGGGGAAGCTCAGCTGGGCCGAGGCCGGGTGCAGCTGTGCCGGCTCCGAGGGCTCTATGACTCAGCAAACAGCCTTCACTTTTCAGATGGAATTCACCAGGCTGCGCTGCGACTGCATCCAGGGGAGGGCCGGCCGCGGCTCCGGCTCCAAGCAGATGCTGTGGCAGGATCGCCAGCTCCCCGGTGCATGAAAGTGCCACACCCTGCAGACGGGCGTCTCAGGAACGCCCAGCTCCTGTCCACCGGGAGGCTGCGTGGACGGCTGCTGGGTGCGGAAGGAAGCCGTCCGCTCAGCCCTCGGGTGAAGGCAGCACCCTAGATGGGGTCCTGGGAGCTGCCCTCCTCTGTGTGCCCCCGAGGGGAAGCCTGACACGGGCAGATAGCCACACGCTCAGGTGAAAGGACAAGTGAGGACCGCTGACTCCCTGCCCACGCGCTTGCCCGGTGTCCGGCCGCTCCACAGGACCCCTCGGGCGGGTCCTCTCCTCCTTAGAGAATCCCCCTGGGGTTCGTGCAGCCATGAGGTCAACAGTATGATCTAACCTCCACTTCACTGTAAATGGCGAGGTGACAGGAGAAACTGGTGTCCCTTTAACTCCAAAGAGTGAAAATACACAAACGCACCAGACAAATTGAGGCCAGAGCCTCTCGTGCGATTGGTGAGCCCAGGCGCTCGCCCCGCGGACACCCAGCTGAATTCCATGATAAACCCCGAGATGCACCAGGGCAACGTGATCAGGGCCTGGGACGTCAGGGTCTGTAGGGTTTCCAGCTGAAGGGCGTGGAGCATCCAGCTGGCCCCATTCAATCAGGGAAACAAGACGGGTGGGCAGGGGGCTCGGCCCAGCACAGAAACTGGGCTGCATTTGGTCAGAACAACTGGGGGTCTCCCCATGCGGAAAACCGTGTGAGCCCTCTGAGTGAGGAGCCGGCGTCCCCCTCCCATTTCTAGGGGACGCGAAGCCGTCTGTCCACTGTGCTGGTCTCTCCTTAATCCTGCACCAATATCACACTGTTGGTGGTGCCAGGTCGGAAGTCTTCGTACCTGGTAAGGCTCGTCTCTTCCTCCTTGTTCTTCAAGTTTGGCTTTTTTGTCCATTTATGCTTCTCTGTCAGCTTGTCCCGTGCCCTGAAAACTCATAGATTTATGGGGAGAAGACTGGCGTGTATGGGGTGTTGGGCCCTCTTGCTTCGTTCCCCATCTGCTCAGGGCTTCCTCGTGTCTCTCCATGAAGTATCGTTTTCTCCAAAAGGTTTTACACAACTTTTGATATATTTACTCGGGTGCCTGATCTGTGTGCTCCGATCATGAATGGTATTTTTGTGTGTCCTTGTTGCCTTTTCCTTACCGTAACTAGGGGAAAGCTGGGATGTAGGAAAACCGTTGATTTCTCTATGTTGACCTGTGCCAGCAACTTGCTGAAATCTCCCAGTTCATGTCGACCCTCCCTGGAGAAGGCAGTTTTGTTCCCTCCTTCCCAGTCTTTATGCTTCCTATCTTTCCCCCACGCTGCTGTGCTGGGTGGCGCCTCCAGCACCCCGTTAAGTAGAAGCAATGATAATCAGCATCTTTCTCTCATTACTTTCTTGAAAAGAAATCTTATAGCGGGTTCCCCATCAGGGACCAGTTTGCTGCAGGATTTTCATCGATTCCTTTTATCATGAGAGCATTTATCTGTATCCAAATTTGCTAAGTGCACATTTTTTAAAAGTTTGTGAATGGGTGTTGTCATTTATCAAACGCCTTTTCTGGGACGGATAGAAGAACTGGATTGTTCTCTCTTGGTCCCTCCAGAGCCAGCCTGTGCCTGCCCCCACCCCACCCCACCCCACCCCAACCCCACCCCAACCCCAGAGCCACCTGCAACCTGACCTTTGACCTGCTCACCAGTCCTCCTGGTTGGGAGGTTCTGATCACCTCATTTCAAGCCTCAGGCTTGGGAGCCACGCAGAGGTGGCTCCTCACAGTGTCCCTAAAATGTTTCCCCTCCCGAGTGAGCAGAAGCGGACGGGAGGTCCCAGAATGATGCCGGGTCTTGGTGGAGGCTCCTTGCACCTTCAGCAGGTTTGTCTCCTCCTCCCACCCTGAGGGGCATGACAATGCAAGGATTCTGGGCTCCACACACACTCCAGAGGGGTTCACAGCTCACACACACTCGGAGGGGCTCGCAGCTCACACACACTCAGAGGGGCTTGCAGCTCACACACACTCAGAGGGGCTCGCAGCTCACACACACTCAGAGGGGCTCACAGCTCACACACACTCAGAGGGGCTCACAGCTCACACACACTCAGAGGGGCTCACAGCTCACACACACTCAGAGGGGCTCACAGCTCACACACACTCAGAGGGGCTTGCAGCTCACACACACTCAGAGGGGCTCGCAGCTCACACACACTCAGAGGGGCTCACAGCTCACACACACTCAGAGGGGCTCACAGCTCACACACACTCAGAGGGGCTCACAGCTCACACACACTCAGAGGGGCTCGCAGCTCACACACACTCAGAGGGGCTCGAAGCTCACACACACTCAGAGGGGTTCACAGCTCACACACACTCAGAGGGGCTCGCAGCTCACACACACTCGGAGGGGCTCGCAGCTCACACACACTCAGAGGGGTTCACAGCTCACACACACTCAGAGGGGTTCGCAGCTCTGGGTTCCTGCTTCCTTCTCTCACACCCTGACTGCCCGCTCCCCCACCCCCTTCCCCTGTAAATGGAGCTGGAGAGGGTCCAGCTCTGGTGCACCCAGCTCTCCAGGGCTGCGTGAAGGAGAAAGCTGCTCGGTTGGCCAGCTGGCCAGCAATTCCACTTAACTGTTTAAGCAGCAGCTCTACCCTGATACAAAGAAAGCTAAAAAAATAATAATAATAAATAAGTCACCTTCCCACTCCCCTCTGATTCTCTGGGTGCAGTCCGCTTTCTCCTTGAGGTCTGAACTCCTGTGGGTCAGCAGGGCCAGGTCGTGGGGTGGCGGCCGAGGTGCCTGGGAACCGGCTGCAGGGCCCCTGCTCTGAGCCGCAGTCCGACCGCCCACCTGCCTCCGTCCTAAAGCAAACTTGAGGCTTCCACATCCGCCCAGAGGCCACTGCTGCAGCTGAGGACCAGGCCACCTCCGTGCAGTCCTTGAGGGGAGACATCTGAGGGGTGTCCTCCGGGCCTGAGGAGGCGGCAGGAGCAGCAGGGCCGGAACCCCCCGGCCTTCCTCCCCAGAGGACCCCGTGATGGTCCCGTGTAGCCATAGTTGCCTCGTGAAACCCACCTTTACTTAGATACACACGGACCTTGGTGTTCCCAAGGTCCCTCCTGACTTGGACAAGTCGATCATTCCACCTTCATCCTCAATGAAATGGCCTCCCTCCAGGAGGAATACGATTTGGGGGCAAATCTCAGCTCATATCGAAGACTTCAAATGCACACTCCTACATGTGGGACAACGTCTCCTGCAGGCAGGGCAGACACCGGGGATGATGCTTCATCGTGAAGACGGGAGACCTCCCCGCTCTGTTTCATGGGACCTGGGCAGTGCCCGGGACCCTGCAGAGGAAAGCTCACCTGGAAGCTCAGGTGTTTGAACTCAGCATCCCGCAGGCTCCCCCGACCGGGAAGAGCCCTGATCAAGGTCCTCTCCTTGGATGTCACTCGAGCTCCTGGCACCGTGCGCCCCAGTGCACAGTGTGTACACGGCACCATTGTGCCCAGCGCTCATTAGCACATTTAACCCAAAGCCCCTGCAAAGAATACACTGCATTCATGCTGGGCAGAGCGAGGTGGGCAGTTGTCCCAGGCTAGAACGGAGATAACGTCCCTTTCATGGGGGTAAAAACATAGGACACAGCTGCCCTTGTCCCAGCCCAGGGGCCCTACAGGCCTGCTGTTCGAGAGAGAGGAAGAGACAAGTGCCTATGAGGGGACAGAAGGCTCGACAGGCTCAGGCTGGGCAGCTCATTGGTTAGATCATCATCCTGATTGCAGGTTCGATCTCTGATCAGGGCACATACAAGAATCAACCAATGAATGCATGTATAAGTGAAACAATAAAACGATGTTTCTCCCCCCCCCCCCCATCAATTTTTTATTGATTTTTTGAGAGAGAGAGGAAGGGAGAGGGATAGAAACTTCAATGGTAGAGAAACATCATTGATCAGCTGTCTCCTGCACGCCCCCTACTAGGATTGTGCCCACAACCCAGGCATGTGCCCTGACTGGGAATCACACTAGCGACCTCTTGGTTCCTGGGTCGATGCTCAATCACTGAGCCACACCGGCTGGGCGCAAATCAATTATTTTTTTTTTTTTTTTTTTTTTTTTTTTTTAATATATTTTATTGATTTTTTACAGAGAGGAAGGGAGAGAGATAGAGAGTTAGAAACATCGATGAAAGAGAAACATCGATCAGCTGCCTCTTGCACATCTCCTACTGGGGATGTGCCAGCAACCCAGGTACATGCCCTTGACTGGGGATCACACTAGCGACCTCTTAGTTCCTGGGTCGATGCTCAATCACTGAGCCATACCGGCTAGGCGCAAATCAATTATTTTTTAAAAATGTACTCCACAGAACACACACAGCAGTCATCAGGGTGAGTAATTGCCACCTCGCTGTGCTGGGGGCCGGGCACCCGTCTGAACATCCTGTGCCTGGTCTCACTTGGACCCGACACCTCCAGTGAGGCAGTGTCAGTCAGGAGGGCAGTGGACGCACCGTCAGACACGCAGAGGATGGGTGGTGGCCCCCCCACAGCCCCAGTTCCCCTCAAGGGCCCAGGAAAGGCCAGCGGGTCAGCAAGCGGGTCCTGAGCACTACCCCCTTTGCTGGGCAGCACTGGCCCTGCCGAGCTGGGCGAGGTCTGTCCCTGAACATCCTGCAAAGCCTGGGTCCTGGGTGCACCGCTTCTGAGACTGCACCAGGCCCCCTTCACCCCAACAGCCAGGAGGGGGCGGTCGCTTTCCCACAGGCAGGGCACAGGTCCTGCACCGCGTGCCCAAGGCTCCGCTCACCCTCCGCTCTCTCTCACCGTGCAGGCCGCAGCCTTCAGACCAGCACTGCCCGCTCCCCTGAAGGCAGCACGCTGAGTGGGCCCGTGGCAAATGCTCCGAACGCCCCAGCCACGCGCACCTGTGCC